CAAAAAAATCCTCAAAGATACTGTGGGGATATCGACAATGTCAACATGCGTCTATGAAAAGGTACCCCAACATTCAATCGAGTTAACGTAACTTAAATAACTAGTGAATAGGCATTGTACTTTTGTAGTGGTAGGCAGTACTCCCAAACCAGAATTATATCAGTGATAGAATTCGATGAATGGATACCAGTAGTTGATTCTTTGCTATGTAAAAAGTAGGGAGAGCTGTAATAAGATCACCGTACTTTTGAGTGCTGATCATGAGACTGAAGTAAGTTCACAGTTGTGGTCGCTCCTGTGTTGCCTTTAGCAGTCGAGTGTGCATGTTGTGTGAGATCGAGACTGAGTAGCAACGGCGTGAGGAGGGGGATAACGTCGCAGTCGCAAGTCAACTGTTCAATGTGGACCATCCATCGAAGTGTGCGTTACTGTCAAGATAGGCATGTTCACATGATTACCAATGTGAGGATAGTAGTTATCAGCAATGTCAACCTTCATCTATGAAAAGGTACCCCAACAAAGAATCGAGGTCTTATATACAAGTGAATTGGCATTTTGTAGCGGTAGACAATACGTTTTCATCTTAAATGAATTTTAATCCATACACAAAAAATGTAATATATCAATAAGAAAAATCTTTACAGTTAAAAAGAATAACAAATTGATGAGAATTTTATTGATAAATTATATTAGCTTCATATCAATGTCACCTTAACATATCTGTTAATGTTTTGTTCATGGAAGATCACATCATGTGATTTTTTTGAGACAAATAAGAATAGTTAACTTCATTAAATTTATTTAAAGATAAATGGTTGTTCCTAGTATGCTTTGAGTTCCATTAACGAGTTCATTAAGCATTTGGATATAATTACCATTCAAGATAGTTTTCTCGCAGTAGGTTTAGAATTAGAACTACGTTTCACCGTTCTTAATTATTTATCCATCATACCATTCTCTGAATGCTAATTGTTGTCGACAGATCTTTTTTTTTTTTTTTNCAGATTTTTTTTTTTTTTTTGTCATAGGCTGAAATGATTGATGTGGTAAATTATACGATATCTATTACAAAAATTATGTTAGAATAATAGGATTCATTCAATGAAAAAGATATTCCACAACAGCGTGGGACTTGTTTGCAACGCTGTAAGTGTGCTATCTTCGAGTCTGACATTTAACCATTGTTAACACTTTTTGTAATCAAATAATTTTCTCTCTTATATGAATGACAATGTTGGGGTAGTTAGCTGCGATTAGCCCTTATTTATGGTTCACTGGAGGACAATTTGCGCAACAACTTAATTGTTTCAACGCGGTTTGCAGCCTTTTATAAACTTCCAAAATTTAACTTCTTCTTTGTATCTCTAGAATTCGTAAAGTACTATAGAATAGTAGAATAGTTTACGATATTTCTAGATTATCAACTCCAAAAATACTGCAATATGCTTTACACTTAACACTTAGTCACTAGTAATACATGTGACGCACTTCTGATAACCACCTTCATTTACTGAATATGACGTATCTGTTATTTTTCAAGATCAATGTGTAATCTTAAAATTTTATTGATTTCAAATTTCCTTTCATAACAAAAATTCATAACGCTAAAGAATAATCATTGCATTGCAGGTACAATCTCCTACCGAGCCAGTGTAAGTATTTCCTCTTATTTTCTTTTGTTCAATCGTAAACACTGATATTATTGAGTAAGATAATATTTATGTACTTTTTGTGTGTATTTTATGCACTCAAAAATTTTATATATGCCAGACCATGGTTTTTTGTCCCACGCAAAGCTGAAATATTAGTACCTTAACAAATAATTTCATAACGAATACATTTATTCCTCTAACACTTTTTTTTAAAAACAATTGGATTTTAATTTATACTGACCCAAAAATAGATAGTATAGTTTATTTTAAATTCATAGTGTCAATTCATTCAATCCATTATAAACATATAATACCGTGATTCTTATGTGCATTTTTCATTTTTGCAGAAGACGTCCCTGCGTTATATATGTGCATTCTTCCCATACATTCCAAAAGTAAGTTCCAAAAGTCAAAGCGTCTTTTTATCTATAAATGCTATTATCATATGTTAAACTAATATTTATGGATCTTATATATTAAGCAACAGTGTAAAATCTTCATTTTAATAATGACACTTCTCACATTTTCCCTACTCTACCATAAATTTTTCAAAATTTTTTTAGATTGGGTAAATTTTTTATGCAAGTCAATATCTTGTGTCCCATAACATAGTACAGTCAAACCCCGCTATTGTGAACCTTCAAGGGACCGAAATTTCGGTTCGCTATAACCGGAACTTCACTATAACCATTCCGCAAACGATTTTTACTAATGTGTAATGTTTTAACTCAAATCCCTAAAAATCCCTTGCGCATCCAAAAAATTCAACAACTTTCACTCTCCCAATCGAGATAAATCAGTTTTCCATTTGAGACCCTTTATCGTCGTTGGCATCATACAGATTTGGTGAGTAATGATCAACAGGAACAGGTGCGGTTTTTCAATAGAACCCCTCCGCCCACTCCATCAATCATTCAGGTAGGGGAGAAACTTTTAGGCGAGACCTATAAGACAGCGGTTCCAAACGCCTCCCTTTTATTACACATTATTTAAATAAATGACCCATGGAATGAAATGCAAAAATGACTGAAAAATAATACGTAGTAACAAATATGTGTTCACTTTTATTTTTTATGACCCTCCGTCTTACTTACACAAATTTTTTTTAAATTCAATTTTAGCTGATAAGCAATCTTCAATATCAAATATAGAAACACTTCCCGACTCTCCAATAATTTTTCCTGAACCCCTATTCGGCTTTTTAAACCTGTCTAACCAGCCATTCGAGCACATAAAAGTAATCTCACAAAATCGTTCATCAAATTCATCCTCTTTGACTTGAAGCATTTGTCCAGATATCGGAAGAGGGCGGCTTCATTGAATGCTGAACCCATTCAATAATGAAGCAAACAAGAAAAACTTATGCTTATTGCTACATTCCATGCTATAGATGGTTTTTAAAAATCTGTATATGTCTTTGTTTTGAAGTAGAAATTTCAAAAATATTACAAAAATTGAAGGAAATAAGACAGAAAAAAGTTCATAATATCCAACTTCCCTACTGTCTTAGGTTCACTATATCCACAAAAAATAACAACATTATACATGTGTAGCAAGGCAGGGGAGCCAGCATTTCGTTCACTATATCCGGGAGTTCACAATAAACCGTGTGCATTGTAGCGTTGTTTGACTGTATAAATAAAAAAAATAAAAATTGATTGAAATTTTTAATTATATTTTGTTTTTTTATCTTTGATACAGTGACTACCGGTCTCCAGTTATCGTTCGCTTAAGACCAGCAGATGTTCCACCAGTTGCGGTTATACCAGTAAGTTATGTTTCATTATTATAAATTTTTATTGCATAACAAGTATTCATTCAGAAGAGATTGTAATTTCAGTTAAAAGCAAAACATTCTTATTTTCTAATTTAAAAAGTTCACTTTTTGAAATGAGTAATGAAACGTTTTATTTGAGTTTTAAACCATTCTCTATTTCTGTTGCTGTTTCCAACCTTTTAACAGATTTCTTGATTATAGCGAGTTAACTCGGGCATGTATATATTACAAATATTTATTATCCCAACTATACTCGGGCATAGCAGATTTCGTCAATACGTTTTGTTTTATCACGTTCATATTCGGCCCGAAGCAAAACAAAAAATAATAACAATCTGCAGCGATTGGAAGTTAGCCAACATTTTGTTCGGGACTTTTGCTGTTTGTGGGACTGCAGACGCGTTTTGTGACATTGTGTATGACATATGATGATTGATGAATTAACATAGAAAAAAGAATTTTAAAAAAATGGCCTTCACGAGAGAAACTAAAAATAATGCAGATGATTTTTAGGATGATGAAGATGTGAATATATGCAAAGACTAATATTTAACTTTCTTCATTTGCCCGAGATAATTTGGGATAGTAAACTGATGGTAAATTAAATATTTTTACACGTAAAAAAATTAAAATGTCAACTTCGAACTTGTGTATTATGTTTCGTTTTAGTTCTTTGTAATTATTAATGAAATTTTAAAAAAATACATTGATTTTTTGCATTTTTTTTAAAAAATTGGTGAGGGAAGCTGCTAAATTGTATATATGTGTGTGTGCGTGCGTGCGTGAGTGCGTGCGTGCGTGTGTGTGTGACCGTAGGTGGATACTGAATCATAAACATGACTTATCATTGAAACGCGTCAATGTTAAGCATCAAGGGCCGGGATAGCCTGGTCGGTAGGGCGCTAGGCCCATATCCAAGAGGTCGTGGGTTCGATCCTCGCCGGCCGAAGACTCCCCGTGTAGTAAATGGTGACTGATGCGCGCTAAATCTGTCGAGTCTCAAAGTCCTCCATGTTCCCACAACAAATCAATACCTCTGGGGGTACTGATCCAGGCGTTTCCTTGTCTTCTGGATTGGTTCAAAATTACAAGGCTACGGAGTTGAACGTAAGTAGTCGTAAACCCATGAAATTGGGTCGGCTGTTCAACGACGGTTATAAAATAAAAAAATGTTAAGCATCATGTGGATAACAAATCAGAGTTTCTTTGTATTCTCAACAACCCTTGTGTTTAAAACTAAATAGGATTGTTTACAGTAAAAAATTTGTGTGAAGGAAAGTGTTCTTAGAAAAAAGTTCAACAATTATTTATTTCTTATTTTGAAAAAACAATTAGAATTTTTGTATGAAGTGAGGAAGAAGAATTAGAATTTTGTATTCAATGTGTAGCGTCACTTTCCTGCTGCCAACTTTATTTCATATATAAAAAAATTGCTTTATAACCCCATTTTAACTTATTTAATGTTGATTAACTTGTTTTCTCTTTATTGATTCAATTTTCTTTTCTGGAGCGGTAATTCTAATCATGAAATATTTGTTTTCTTGCTTTTAAATGAATGTATTGTTTTATAGAGACGATCGACTAGAGCGGCCCATGTAGTTCAAAGGTATGATCCAGAAACAAGATCACTGGATCTGCTGAGAGAAAGGTACAACTTAATTTTTTTTTTAAAATATGGAATGTATGTTAGTTACCACTTCAAAAATCTTCAGTGCGTAAATTTTAAAAAAAATCTAGTTATGTTAACAAAAATGATTTACTTTTCAGAAGATGGGCTGAATCTGAACGCATCAGGAAAAGGAAATATCGCTAAATAGTGAGTTTTTATTCTCTATCATAAAATATTTAAGATTGGCCGACCGGCCTGTGTAGGGGGCAGGGAACTGTCCTTGCATCAGAAAGGTTCTGGGTTCGAATCCCGGGCAAGGCATGGATGTTTCTTTCTCTCTATCTGTGCTCTGTGTCCTTTCTCCTTTATGTGAGAATGTGACTCGCCCTATAAACGGGTTGTGGTAGTGCTACGTGGGCGACGCTGCCCCACCGCCGTGGCTTCGCCTCAGGTGCCCACTGGGTAACGAAAAGAGAGTTAGCAGTTCTGGTACTTTCTGCGACCAATGGACAATAGTTCCAAGTGCCCGCCATTAAATTAAAAAAAAAATTTAAAAAAATATATTTAAGATCGTATTTATTGTATTGTGAGTAATATATATGTAATAATTTTACTAAAAATTGCTCGTTAGGAGGAAATAAATGCTGTTTTTTTTTTAAATCGCTAGCATCACGTTAAACCTTCTGCGTAGTTCCCAAACTAAGAAACTTTCCTCCCCACAGCTGTAATAAATAATATACCAACAATCAAATGAGTATAGCACGAAAGAATAACGATTATGACAGAATTTCACCCATCAGCGGGGNGGGGGGGGGGGGGTAAGAATGTAATTCATGGTCACCGCGTCACTCATTCTTTTACCAAAAGTCTGGTTACGTGTTCGATTGATTAAGTTTGTCAACTATAGCAATTGATTAAGAATCGCAACGTTTAGATTGTTAACACGTTGAATGCCATGGGGCTCACCGGTGACTGACACCGAGTTTGTTCGTAGCGCCACGGGGGTCACCGTTGCAGCCAAGATTATTAGAAACACATAATTCGAGTAAATTTTTAATTTTTNAAAAGTCTGGTTACGTGTTCGATTGATTAAGTTTGTCAACTATAGCAATTGATTAAGAATCGCAACGTTTAGATTGTTAACACGTTGAATGCCATGGGGCTCACCGGTGACTGACACCGAGTTTGTTCGTAGCGCCACGGGGGTCACCGGTGCAGCCAAGATTATTAGAAACACATAATTCGAGTAAATTTTTAATTTTTGTATATAATCGTTACTAAAATGGTTTGAAAAAATTAATGCAATACATACTGATACAATCATTTTGGCCAGACGGGCAAGCCATGTAAAATGCATTCAACGTGTTAAAGACGAATAACATTTGCTCACAATCGTTAAGAATATTAATGCATTATTGTTAAAAACGTAAAAGATTGACCACATTTGCCAAATAGTGAGTCTTGGAACAGATTTTTAGTTTTTGAAGGAATGAGACTTTATTTTTTTTAAATCGTAGACGATATGATCAGTTGAAGTGATTATCGGCGATATAAACCAAACCAACCTAATGTGAATCTTAACATTCTGTATTTTAATTTTGTCGTACTTTACAAAGATTTTTCGCGTGCATAGGTTCACCATAGAAAAAAGTCTCTTATTAAAATAAAAATTTTGGCGCTTTGATGTGGCAAATAGTGAATACTATAGAAATTCCTGTCAAAGTTAGTGAAGGGAACCTAAGTTAAGGCTCTCTGGTCCAAACTAAAGAATGACATTTATGCATTTTATGAGATATTGAATAATTTTTGTCTAAAATGCAGGACTAAAAAGTAAATTTTTTTCATAGGGTACTTGCATACCTTTTTTTTCCTTATAAAATGTATAATTTTTTTAAAATTGAGAATTAAATTTAAAAAAAAAATTATAAATTAAAAGCAATGTAAGACAATTTTATAATGCTCTATATTTTCTTTTTCAATATCTTTATGAGCTATATTTGTATAAACGAGTGATACAAAACATTTAAGGGGAAATTGTTTCTGCACTGCGAAGTAAACGTTTTTAAACTTTTAATTCCTACTTTACAATTAGTTTATATTGTGAGCTTTTTTTATAAAAGAAATTCTGAAATATTCAAATTTTTTGCAGTGAATCTGGACGTTCGACTACCAAATTATGATGTGCCTCAAGAACAGCTAAGATCATTTTAAAAAATAATTATTATTAAAAAATAGCCCAGAATTTTTTATGTTGAGTGCAGAATCACCAAAAAAGAATTTTTGTTTTGTTTTTTGAATTCAATGAAATGGTATATCCTTATGGAAAAATTTGCATTTCACAAATATTGCGATGCATTACTGTGTTAAAAATGAATTTCTTTGAATCTTTTTTTTCTTCTTAAATGCGTCTAGTTTACGGATTTGGCAATTTTTTAAAATCAACTATTCTCACAACGATTTTAATGAACGGTTAACTTATATAGTTTCTTAATGAAGCTCCTACAGAAGTACTACAGAAGAAATGCTATTAATACACATTGAATTTCAGTCTTGCAGATTAATACGTCTTTTATTACAATAATAATGAAAGAAACAATTGGAAGAAGGTTAAAAAAAATGTTGTTTGCTAAATCGGAATTTGTCTAAGAGCACTTTAACAATAAACTTAACTAAATTATTTATTTTAAATGAACAATATGTATTTATATCAGGGTATTACTCTTAGCAAGAGCCACACATTTTTGGAGAACAAAGCTACGCAGATTACATTTTTTTTCTTGTCATTCCAGTTAGATCATCAAAGAAAAGTATAAATGTTGGCTCGTTTATGCATCGCATGAATCATTTTTAAACGCTTTTTTTTTTACTTGGCTTAAATTTACCAAAAATGGATCCTTTTTCGAATACAACTAGCTAAAAATTTAAAGTTTTTTTTTTTTTAATATTTCATAGAATTGATAAACAACGTGATGTAGAAAAAGCATACACAATTTCAATAAGATTGGTGCATTATTTTTTGAGAAATCTCGAGTCTGTAGCAAGGATATAATTTTGTAAGGCGGTCTTCGAAAATCAGTTCGCAAATCAAAATTAACAGACCGCATTTTTTGATGGAAACTTCACGAAATTCGGCTATCACTATTGCGTGACTCTTTTTAAACTCTGGAAATCCGAGTGCTCGCTTATGAGGACACATATATGATAATTATGGACACGTATGATGTAGATTTACACGCATTTTTTATGATAGAAATTCCATGAACAGAAGAAATAATTAAGGCCGATGAATATCTTCTCTTCCAAATAACGTGCCCAATTAAAAATACATAAATAAAAATTATATAGTACTAAAATTAAAATTTTTGTTGATAGCACAAAATTTATCGTTTTTTTTTTTAATTGATTAGTTCAATATATCCACATTATCTTTGAGTGTCCAGCAATGAGTGATAATCTGAGAAAAATATGAGTTTTGCCGTCATTGATTGACCTTTATGACGATAACATCAAGCAAATCGCAGAAGCAGTAATCAAGACTCATGGAAACATATTCGCCATATTGATTCGGCTATGTCATAGACACGACAAAAAAAAAATAGATCTACGCCCCCTCCCCCCGATTGTCATGAAATGACAACGGCTTTGAGAGACCTTTTGTCGAGACGAAAATATCTGAAAGGATAAATAATTAAAAACAGCAAGTTGACTTGATGAATACATAAGTATTTGGCTACTTCAAACTAATCATTTTATATTTAAACTACAAGAAAGTTAAGAGAAATTGCACAGGAGATCTTATACTGATTTTCACAATTTTTTGTTGAAAGGTACTATAAATTTATCAATCATACTTAAGCGTCTGAATTTTTTTTTTCTTTGTTTTAATATTTATATAGTTCTTTTAAGTGATTTCTAGGGGAGAGTTCAAAAACATAGTATTTAAATTTCAAGTATCTGGCAGACAAAACGGAATAGATTGCGACGAATAGATAAGATTGTTGTTGTTTAGATGAAAGACTGCTTCTAACCAACGTATTTTTTTTCCATTCATTATTTTAGTATTACGTTATTCCAAACGTTTTTTCGCATACTTTATTGTAAACGTTAACTTAATAAAATGTTCTTACCATAAAATGACTTCACATTGTAACAGCCACTTTCAGAGGAACTACAGGGGATATTATATGGAGCGCCGATTATACACAAATGCCTATCCATCTATCTTTTTTTATATAAAAAGTGTTCAAAAGTCAAGTAGATTTAAGTTAATAATTAATGGTTTATTAACGTTTGACGAATAATTTAAAACGTTCATTACGTCTCTGAAAATATAACTCATTAATCAACAGTGAATATATATTTATTTATCGTTTTTATACTGTTCGACTTATCTACTTTACCTCTGAATGCTTCATACATCTATCAAGCTATCTCTGTCAATATACATTTCTATCTATGTACGCAATCGATGCTCTACACAACAACCCATGTAGTTATCATGCTCGTAAATAGTTACTCCGTACTAGTAAGTACTGGACAAAGTTCGAAAAAAAACCTTCTTCAAAGAAAATGGAAAAGTTACCGAATAGTAAATATTAACGAGGCGCTTTTTTTCCCTCTATAATTTTATATCAATGCCAGTGACATTGTAATCAAAACAATGCGTCGGTTAGAAGTAATCATTTTCACTCGAATTCATTTCAACATTTTTACTCGAAAATTGAAAAATCGAATAATACTAGGTGAATAACTCTCCTAATAACTCATCAGTTACAAAGACGGATGTTAATACACACAGAAAATGTTTATCAAGTGAATAACACGTGTTCGTTAAACCGCAGGATTCGCCATATCGAGCGTCAACTGTATGTATACATGTCTATCTATCCATCTAGCTATCTATCGATCTATCTTTAAATATGGGTGTTCATAGTTAAAGAAGATTGAGTCCAAAAATGATAGTTTAAAAAATAACCTATTATGAATATCATTTGAATTCTACGGGATTTTAAAATAGAGTAGTTCATTTGATAATATAACTTGTTTCTTAACTATCAGAAATACTTTCATCAATAAAGGTATTATTACGTAACTTTGCACTTTTGGACCTTATTTACTTCAGCTCTGAACGCTTCATATAGGTATCTAGCTAATTTTCCAATGTATTTGCATACGTTTCTGTCTATATGCATACAGTCAACGCTCAATATAATGATCATCTAGTTATTTATTCATAAATACCATAAACTAACGGATTGACTTTCTAGTGCCAGAAGAAATATTTTAGCTTTGTTCTTATGTTCATAAATGTATACAAATGTCGTTTAAAATATCGTATTAAAAGTTAAAACGATATGCTTGTTAAAAGGAATCGTTTTCTTCAATTAACACACGATCAGATAATCGCATAATATGACAAAAGCATTATCTAGAAAGATGTCAATACCGGGTGAGTTAACTCATAATAATAAATTTACAGTACCTTTCAGAAATAAACTTAAGTAGATGAGCAATTCATATAATGCCGAGGATAATATTTGTAGTTTTAGAAAATTCAGTCCTATTTTTTTAGATTCTTAGTTTTAGAGAAATGTTTTAGTCCTCTTGAACAATTTTTTTTTCGATATTAGGAGATCTAACTCTCTAACTATAAACTATCATTGGTTAGTTTTTAAGAAAAAAAATAGTAATGCTAAAGTCATTGTATGCATAGGGGTCACACACCTGACTTATACCCCAGTTTCCTTATCGGTGAAAAGCTTCAACGTGCAGCATCGATAGCAAACCATCAACCACGAGTTCGTTTTCTGTGCTATAAATAAGTTTTATGCTGTGGCTTACGATTTCATAACTCATTGCAGCTTGGGATTTTATAGGTTTTGAAGCTTGTTTTAAAAAAATAATACAATCGAAATAACTACCTCTTGAGTTTTAAGCGATAAAAGTGTTTAAAAAAACATTTCAAAAAGTTATTCCTTAAAAACTCCAAGAACGGGTGTTCAGGGGATTTAGTGCAATGTGAAGGCAAAGCTTGATGGTTACAACGTGCTACCTCGTTAGGGGACTTCAAGCTAAAAACAAAATACTAATAATAAATACAAATAATAAATTTTACCGAGGCTGAAATCGAAATTAAAGCAAATCATTGAGTCCTATGAACGCCTTTTACAAGTCATCATTGTTCCAAACACAACTGAGAGCCGATTAGTATTCGACATCTCATGAAATGTCTGAAAAGAGAATGAAATGTCTCATGAAATGTACAGAATCTCACAGGATGTTTTATCGGTGTCTTAAGGAAATAGTGAAAATCAATCTGTTGTTGTTGTGGCTTATCCTCCAAATGCCTGACGAAGTCAGACAAGGTCCATCAGACCGTTGACCCTAAGAAAATCGAGGACCAGAAGGGAAGATGAGTATATACCTCCCGATGGTGTTCCTGCCTTGTCGAGGCGGTGAGGCTTGTGCGTACCAATGACCCGGAGGGCTATGCCGGATGTAGCTTGCTACTGGTAGGGTCTCCCAAGCCGGATAGGCCAAAGGGTAGGTGCCAGACGAAAAAGAACACCAACACGAGCCGAGACTGACTTCTACCTATATGGTGCTCAGATCCCCAGATCAACAGAAGATTTTTTTTAAATTCACTTTCATTTTTTTTTTATAAATCGTGGGCAGACTTTATTATTTTTTTTGGGAGAACCTGACATTGAATGAATGGCGCCTCTGGCGCGGCTTAACAGCCCGTAAGTCGATTGAATCTAGACCTCTGGCGTGGCCTAAAAACCCGCAAGTCTGAATGAAAGGGCAACCTCTGGCGTGGTCTAATCACCCGCAAGTTTAATGATGTATGTGTGTAGTGTGTGAATGAAGTGTGAATGATAATGTCAGGGGATTCCAACTAAACCATAAATTAATTGCAACTAATTTTTTAAAAAATTAAATTTCATTATTATTAAATAATTACATAAATTCCTTTTTCTTTCTTAAGAATAATATAATGATAAATTTAAACAATCCTTTATTTGATTAGAATTGTTACGAACGCAGAATATATTAGTGTCTTCAATAATTTATTTTAAATTTACGATTCTGATTATTAAATAAATCACACAAATTACTATGGTAATTACAATTAATTCCTTATTCATAATTACGATTCTCACAAATCAATATCGAAAAAAGAAAAAAAAAACTGCAGTTAGTACGATTTCGGCATGAAAATTATTTGCATATCTAGATCTAGAAAAGAAATATCTATAATATTATACTGCTTTGTTCTCCAAAACTGTTAAAAATGTAAATTAAAGGAATCTTCAATTCATCATTTGTAAAGTTTTAAAATTCTAACTTGTTTGCCTAAAATTATTTTTTAATGAAAGTTTCATTCAATAGGAAACTTTCAAATATTTTGAATGCTTTGGTTAATTTTAATGTTGATTGTTTCTACAAATTAGTTTAAAAATAATTTTTAAATTTAATTTTAGAATTTGTAATTATATTTTTTTCCCTCAAACTAATTTATTTTTTACTTAACTAGTATTTTTTTCCCTCAAAATATTTGTTCCTTTGTCAACACTAAAATGCTATTTTGTTATAGTTACGTATTTTTTAATGATACTTTTTGCAGCGTTTCACATTTAAGAATAAATTTATAACACTGTTCGCGTAATACACAATTTGTTTCAACTAAATTTTTATTTTAAAATTTCTATAAAATGGGCTGGATTCTGCACTCTTCGTAAATATATAAATATTTGCATTTTATATAATATTTTCAACTATGTTACATTTCATATGTCTTTTCTCCACGTACTTGCCAAATTTTTATTTATTTGTTTATTTATTGTCTGATTTCTATCATGAACTTAAAAATTGTGAGCTGGCATAAATTGGATATGCTGAACCATCTACAAATTGTTCAAAAGTAATATGAGATACCAGAGATGCTTCTGAATTTCTTTAAAATTAAGAATACTAGAACTATTACTATTTATTACTATGCTTATTACTATTTTTAAAAAACGAATTAAAACTTTTCTAGTCGATTCAAAAATGTGTTCACTTTTTTCAGTTTATTTAAAGAGATTTTAATGTAATTAACATTGAATACTGCCTATGTTGTGAGCTGTAGATTTTATACATCAAAAGAATTATCTCTAAAGGCACTAGTTTCTAACAAGAAAAAACTTTCAAACGGAATCATTATAGGTGAATTAAAAAATTCCTTATTTCTGTAATGAGATGCAGTTCCTGCAATTAAATTTTAGGTTCGGCTAATGACTTTCAGGGTTAAGTACTTAATCACATTGCAAACTCAAAATTGACTTCTGAGAGTCATATTCGTCTCTAAGAAATGATTTTTAGCACAATGATTTATTTTATTCTATGCATTGGCTGACTTTTAAAACTTAATTTGAATATTACAAAAGTAAAAGCAAAAGGGAATTTCGCAAGTTATGAATATCTTGGAAACAATAAAAGTTTTTCAAAAAAGTATAATAAGTAAATTAATTGATGTCGAATTTGGAATTACAAATCTAGTGTTAAAAAACATAGAATGCACAAATACATATTTTTTTTTAATCGTAAGGATGAATAAAATGTAGAAGTAAAATATTCTTTCCCGAAAACTCAAGTTAAATTCTTTTTTATTTTCATGCAAAGTTCTAGTTACTTAAGCTTTGATATTTTTTTTGTAAAAAGGGAAAAAAATCATGTTTTCAAGAATGTTTTTTCTCACTTAGATTATTTTATTAAAAATATATATATGTATGGAATCTGAAATTGCTCACCGACGGAAACGCAAAGTATACCTTTGTACATTGTAATCCGTTTTTCTCTTGATGCAATAATTTATATATGCTATACTGTATGGAAATCAGAACTATGAAAAACGAAAATGTTTTTAAATAATTTAATAAACGAATAACTCGCAAATATTTTAAGAAAACCCTAATAAAAAATCTATACCTTAAGACAGGGAAAGCGGCTTTTAATGCATCTACAAATAAACTGGAATTTACAAATCAAGATTCTTCTTATGAATGAAAAGACTTGTTTAGCGTCATAAGAATGCATCGATGGAATATATTTCATGAAACTTCTGCTATTCTTTGTCAAAGTTGACATTCTCCATCACAATTCAGCACTTGTGTTACAGAAATATTTTTTCAAAGATTCAAATAGTTTAGTTATGAAGGCATTTTTTTTCTTTGTTTCAAATTTCATATTCGCCTCATTTCATATTCGCTTTCTTTATGCAAATAAAAATTTCATAAAACTACCTTAGAACTTATTAGAAAAAAATTAAGTAAATCATTAGGTTATAATTATTTTTCCCAATTTCGAACTCAGACTGCACTAATAGCTAATCAATTCAACTTAGCTGGATTTAAAAATTACGATGAAATTTATTTTTTTATAATTATTAATATTATTTTTATTCTTTTAATTAAAGTTTATTTTAATTCATATAATTTTAATTCCAACTTACTTTTAAATGTACTTAAATGTATTCAAATATATGAAATCATTTTAAATGAGTAAGAATTATTTTCAAAAAATTCCATACTCATTTTGCAGATACTTGCTACTTATTTTTTTAAAGAATAATTGATACATGTTTTTATGCGTCCATACATTTATTACAATCTGTGTTTTAGTCATATAAAAATACCATAAAAATGTCTATATATAGTATATCGATGGCAGAAATGACATAACCACTCTTATTATATCCCTCTTTTTACATTAAAGTATTTCAATAGCATTAAGTCAATAATAAGCAGATAACCTCAAAAAAAATCAAAATTTTCTGAGTTTAGGCTTATTACAGTTTGACACTTTTTTTTCACTTTTATTAAAATTGAACATTGTATAAATGGTTATTTTGAAATTAACAATTTTCTATTCAGTTGCGTCAAAAACAGCAACTGTGTTTAGGTTAAGTACCGTTGCACTTTGCCTTCATATTTATAAGAATCTTCCACCAAAGCCTGAACATATATATACATTGCTTTTTAACCTCTTCAGGATCTGCGGAAGGAAAAAAGAGCTTCCCCAGGCCCACGAACTTGAAATGTAATTCGAGTTAGCGAATCGAGATCACGTCCATGTGATCTTGGGCCGCTAGAGTCAGAAAGGCTCTTTTTTCATTTGTGATTCCGTGAGCCGAGAAGGGAGAATTACACGATCACGTGTAATCACAAACCTGAAGGGCTTAAATAACGTGTATACAAAAATGTCCAAAAATTGTAATGTTAAACTGGTTCAAAAACAGCCAAAACATTTCACTATTATTTTGCGCATACCCGCTTCGTTGAGCTTATAAATATCAAATATAAATGTATTTCAGTGCATTTTAAAATTATTTTCAGCAACAATTACGTAAATTAACACATTCATCCAGCAAGTTTGAAGAAAAAATAATACATTGCTTTAGAAAAAAAAATGCTCTGCCTTTTTTGAAAAGTTAATAATAAAAAAAGGCAATTAATAAAACTGTCATAGTATAATTTTTAACTCATATTGTCTAATTTGCTTTAAACTTTATTTGGGGGACTCTAGTCCTCTAAATAAAATAGTTCCTTATCAGCTTTAATATAAAAATTCTTATACGACATATATCGCCCTTATTGATGAATATGATAATTTATTAATGGTATTAAAATTTATAAATGGTAATATATTATTTTAAAAAAAATTTTTTTTTTGCATACAGGCATTTTAAACTTTCATTTGAATTTGCTCAATTTTTTTTAACTTCAGAAGGTAAACTTTCTATACCATGCGTATTTTGAGATAGAAATTAGTTGTTTTATTTTTAATAACTGACTTGCAAACAGCGGCAAAGCATATATTCTATATTACTTTGAATATGCTATATAAATATTTTATGTTACTGTTTTATACTTTTAAGAGAACAATTGTAGATTGTTATTGTGCTTATGGTGCTATCACTCTTTATTTTTAATTACAAGAATTGACTTGTTGTGTTTAATATTTAGTGTTTAAAAAAAATAGTAACAATTGCCTTGAAAAAGTTACTTTCTTGATAATGGTTTTGCTAATCTGTGGCTTGGTCACCTTGAGTAAGCACCTGACAAACAAGTGGAAGGATTTCACACTGGAGGCCCATGTGACAAGAGGCAGACCAAAGAAACGATGAATTGATGATATCTTGAGTGGTTTAAAAACTTGAAAGATCTCCAACTCATAGGTCTAGAAGTGAGTTGTATGGAAAAATATGGTTTGGCAAGCTAAGGCCCACCCTGAGTTGTAATGCCAATGAAGAAGATTGTTAAGAAACAGCTTTTTAAATAAAGTGAATTTAAAAATTACTGTTCTCTTGCTCCCATACATGGCAGATACCCATTTCGGTGAATGGCACCACAGATTGTTCAGCAGGAAATAAAGTAATGCTGGAACTTATTCAAGTACTTTCAGTATCCTGTTCATAAGTATTGGGACAATTTTGGTGGAGAAAGAGTGAATATATTATTAGAATACTGACCAATCAAAAAACAGTATTGGGTTGATCATCAATTCTCAAGCTACTATTTTGTTGATTGAGTTGATTCAGTATCACGGAAGTGAACAGATTTTTTCCTACAAAGTAAAGTTTTTCAAACTTATGAAGTGAAAGAGAAACATCACCCTCCAGTGTAATCTGATCCATGTGAAAAAGAACAGACTCTCCCAGTTTCTGCTCAACTACAGACAATAAGAGGTACGATGTGCAGCAGTGGATGAGCACAGTACTGAACACAGTTACTCACAATATATCGAATTGTAGTGCGATATGCATGGTAATCACCATTCATGGAACTACCATTCGTGGAACATAGTCCCAAATAAGCTTTTTATTTAAAACTAGTAAAAGAACGCTAATTCCATTAGTTGTTATGGTTGTGACTCATCCTCCAACTGTCAAACAAGATGTTTAGTCAGTTAACCCTCAGTTAATCAAGAACCAGAAGGGGGAGGGGGAGCATATATGTTCTCCCTGGAGAGACCCAAGCAATCTAGGGTGTGCTCTGCAGAAACTTGCTGCAAAAATTCTCCTGCCCTCAAGGAATAAGAGACTCTTAATGTGTCTACTTAAGAGTACCATTCGTAAATTTCTGTCATGCCATTATTAAGTTGACTTTGTTAGAAATCTGGAGCACTACTCTCAAAAACTGCATTATAGATAATCTTGCTAATCATAAGTACTGAAATATGCATCATATAGCTTAAAGTTTTCACTTCAAAACTTTGGAATCACTTTAAGTTGAACATGTTATCAGATTTCTTTATCTCATTGTACATCTAAAATGTTTATTTAAATTCATGATAGCA